TCTTGGAGGGGTGCCGAGAAGGATTCCCTATTCCTGGATACACAGGTGATTCTCAGGTATGTTGCTCACGAGAAGGAGGGAGAGTGGCAGGTCAGGCAGGTACGCTGATTCCTTTCTGCAGTTTTTGCAAAGTGAGGAAGAAGGATTACTACAAGGAGGAACTTCGGAAAATTACCAGATTCTGATCTGGAAGAGAAACCACAAGGGTGCTGCAAGGAGACACGTTACATTAAGTACAAAAAACGCACAAGGTTACTCTGGGAAAATCTTTCTTTCAAACTCAAAAGGTGTCAGCTGCATCACCATATGGCAATCAACAGTCATCTTGGTCCAACTCAGCCTTAAGTGCAGGTGGTGATAATCAGCTGTCAGGGGGGACAGCTGAAAACCAGTTGGCACCTCCCACTCTCAGGATCTGCAGGTGAATACAGTAGTCCCTCGTTTACTGCGGGGGTGACGTTCTGGACGCCCCAGCAATAAGTGAAAAACCGCAAAGTAGAAATGCTATATTTATTTTAGTATTGATATATATTTTAAGGCTTTATAAACCCTTCCCACGCTTCTGCAATGTTCTGAACTTTTAAACCTACGTCATTTTAACAACATACGTACTGTATATGTACTGCACAGTAGCTGACGCAAAATATTATATGGGGACTCACCAGGCTTGGTCCGGTTCTGGTCGGGTTCTGATCAGCTCTCTGCATCCACTGAGGACCGAAGTCACAATGAATAAGGACTGAACTTTCTAGATATGTTCGGATCGGATCAAAACTTTCCCTCCATTTCCCGCAGAAATCAGCAGCCGGAAGCACTTCTGGGAAGGGCACTGTTGCCTTCTGGGTAGTGTAGTTCTTTGACTGGCCATACAGCATAGGCTTATTGAAAGAAAAGTGCAAAATGGCGGCGCTTGTCCAAAGTTTTTTTTTTTTGTTAACTTTTTATTCCGTACCGTCTCAATCACATGCGTAATGTTAAGTTGACAATCGTTGAAAAACCACGAAGAGGGACTACTGTAGTGGAAAAATATTTAAATCCAGTACCACTTTACAATAAGGCTCCCCAAATAGCTCATCAATAGTTTATAGATATGTTATTAATTCCTCTATAAACACTTTATAAATCATTAATATTTGTTCATTATGCATTAATTAAGGGTGACAGAGGGAGAAAACTGACCAGTTTCTAATAGTGAGCCAAATTTGTTCACCTATATATTCCATCTAGAGTTGTTATATTAAAGATTTCAGACTAAGTTACTACCTTGTAAACACAATAAGCATGTGTAACCTATTTTTTAGCATATAATATTATACTTTATCACTGCATTATAAGTATCTACAACTAATATTATATCCTAAAAAAATTGATTTACAAATGCGTATTGTGCTTACAAGGTAGTAACTTAGTCTGAAATGTTTAATATATAGGTGAACAGATTTGGCTCACTATTTGACAAGAGACTGGTCAGTGTTTTTCTCTCTGTCATTAATGCATAATAAACAATTATAAAGTGTTTATAGAGGAATTAATAACATATCTATAAACTATTTATAGCCATCTATATGAGGAGACTTGTTGAGTGGTACCTGAAATCCTAACCTAACTAACAAACAGCATATTTGTTCTGTTGATTTTAACAATTATTAGCTAAATTTTGTGTGGTAGTAGCCATGCGTCATCACCATGATCACGAGCGATAGAATGTTTCACATAATCTTAAAATATCACACTACGTTTATAATATTTGATTAGAACTGCTGTAACTCGGTGCATTCTCAGCATAAAATTATTTTAGCATAAATCTGTGGCTCGAAAAGTTAAGGGTGATATGCATTCCTTCAAAGAATGTTGCGCCTTTATTTTATTCCAGAGTAAAGGAGCTGGTATTTAGGAAAATGGAAAATCACACTGACAATAAACATAAATCATTGTCACATCCTGCACTTTAAATAGCTGTAAAAAAAAAAAATAATAAAAGAGGATGACGACTTTGTCGCTGAAAAATAAAAATAACTTGGTGTTTTCTCTCCCGTTCCACACTGACTCCTTTGTCGCCAATCCAGCTTTGACATGAACTGGGTCAAGGATGGGAGGGGGGGGGGGGGGTTGAGGAGGGCAGCAGCTGGACCCAACCATCAATGTCACCCTTGTTAGCCAACTTCATCAATGTCAGCGGCTGGCGTTTGGATTTATCTCACTCCGTGGTGTGTGCGGACTCCTGCAAACTGTTCACTTATCACGGCTCTGATCTCTATAGAATGGGGAGCCGGCAATCACAAAATAATAAAATTAAGTAATAAAAACAAATGAAGGCTGACAATAAAAGGTTATTAGATGCATCCTGCAAACTACAGTGCACAAATGTTCACAGGTATGTGACAAAGCAAGTGAAATGAAATCAGCAAGGAATGAATATCGCCCGCCACCTTCCATACCAACATTTAGTTCAAAGATCTTGTGTTACCTATTACTGTTCGGAGTTTATGTTTGTGATGACTCTCAGCTACTACCACACTTGATCTTAGTTCAATAGCTGTAAAATTATCTGATTTGTAGTCATTTTTGTACCTGCTCATGTTGATTAGCTGTGGTGGCCATCTTGAATCAAGATGACCTCAAAAGTTATTCCGTTGTCCAAGTACATCCAGTGGTTACTCGCTTAAAGTTCTGTTAAATCTGTCAAAGGACTCATGAGATATTATGCTAACAGACAGATGAGGGTGACTTCAAGTCTTTAACAAAATTCTAACTCACAGCTACCATCACACCAAATTTTAGCTGAATATCTATGAAATTAAATAAAGCGTCGCCGTTTTTGTGTTTGAAAAAAATCGTTACCTGAGGCGGCCATCTTGAATCCAAAAAATAATCAGTTGTAGATGTATATCTAATTATTACTTTCTAAAAGTTTCATTAAAATCTGTCCATTGTTTTATTTTTTATATATTTTTCTAACAGACAAGTGAACAAATAGACAATTAAATGATCAAGTGATGAAAATCACTTTTTTCCCCCAAGACTTTTTTATCTAAAGTGAAATAAAAGTACAAATTCACACGAAATAATATTAATATTTTAATTGCAGATTTTTCAACAGGCCGATTTAGTTCTTTTGTTTATTGAAGTCTACAAAACGAATCCCTTTCACTCCTTCAGATCAGTTGTGCATTTTCTTCAAATTTGAAAAGATAGAATTGTAAATAAAAGCTTCATTAAAAACTCAGAAAAAGAGTTCAGACGAGGACTTTGGCCCCCGTCTCGCCTCCCCCTCCTCAGCCCAGCGGCAACATAAATAATGACTGGCAGCTGAAATGGGACTTTGTGACTTTAAGATGTGACTCGGGAGACGTGGTCTATCTATTGTTGATGAGACAAAAGCGCGAGTCAGATTCATATAGGAGTGGTGGGGAATAACTGCTCATATCCTCATATCAGTCACAAAGGCATCCAGCTAAAACCGCAATATCCCCCCGCACTTCTTTCTGGACATGGGTGAGTGCACTGAATTTTTAATAACTCTTATCATTTCTTATTAATGTGATTTGAAAACCATGGAATTCAATAACTTGCACACTTTTAATATCTTTTTTTTTTTTGTCCTTTTAGACATGTTGCCCTCGTGCACTGTGGGCAAAGCTTGCTGCAAACTAATTATGTGCTTTCCTTCAGCTGTGGCGTCTTCATGCCCAAAATGCTTGATTGATTTGATTTGATTTCACCTTCTTCCTGATGTGTGACAAAACTCAGCATACGAGGAGGATTTCGAAGGCTTGACGGTCAGCATCACAAGGACTTGCACCGATTTTGCTTTTCAGTGCAAACAAAAAAAAAGAAGTCTACTGGAATAACTTCATAACATGTAGCTCGGAGTGGAGTCACGGTGTAGCTGAGAGTGGCGGGCATTAACACGCCGAGGCCGTGCCAGGTCACTCATGTGAACAGGGTCAGATACTCCCACATGTGTCACGGGGAGAAATGAGAAACATTTCCATGCTGACTGCGGACCCAAACTACTTCTGCCGCCCCCACCCCATTTATTCCTCACTAACAAACAACTTGTGTGTTCCAGATGTTTTTTAAAGCAGGTTATTCACATCAACCAGTGACAAAGTAGTTTGCAAATGCTTAAACTCATGAATTCAACTGGGGATAGAGTGTGCTGCTCAGAGACACCATGAGATGTGCAATGACTGGGGATCGAGCCTGAGACTTTCGGGTCCCGAGTTGGCTGCCCTGCCTTTACCCCCATCTCGGCCCCCATGCACATGGGCGTCAGTAAATACTATTATGTTTTTATATTTTGGTAGATTGTTGGGGGTGGGGGCATGGGGCTCCCTCTTCCTACCGTTTCTGCTTTCTGTAACTAAATCCTGACAGGAGTGATGTGAATAAACAAAATGACTGCCCGCCCCCCACAAGGATCTGCACAATCTGTATCAACAAAACAAATCTCGTGTGAGGTTGTTGTTGTTGTGAGGGTATTTACATGACCCCCGCTCTTTCTGTTTACTTCTGCTCATTACTCTTCCACCCACTCTTTGAACACTTGAACCTGGCCCCCACCAGCACTGACCCTGGTACCAGCCTCAGCCAGTTGTGCACGAAGAATGGCCTGACACTGCCGATGATGTCGAGATGGTTCCTGGTGACCACCGCGTACCGCAGTGTGCACGTGTGTGTGGTCTTTGTTTGTTTGACATCATTGCCCTTTGTTCATCCACCGATCGCTGCCGGCACAATGGATATTGTATCCGCGGGCCACAAAGGGAAGCTCTCTCTTCAGGGCCAGAATTTCTCCACCATCCCTGCGTGGCCTGGTGACGCCTGCAGAACAAGGGGCTGGACCAGATTTAGCTTGGACGGAGCTATGAGGTGTTGGCACAGATGAAATCAGCGCAGAGAGTGCAGCTGTATTGTACAGTAGCAACACCTTGCAGACAGAGACTGTACATCACGGGGAGCTTTCTCGTTGTGGAGTACAGCGTCAGGGGCTGCAGATGTTTCCGGTCAGGCAGCCTTGGCTTTGCAAAGCCTTAGGTGCTTCCTTTTTTTTCCCATTTCTGGCAATGCATTTATTAACATGCTGGATATTTACTGCCTGCTTCAACCCAGCTGCTTGACCTGGAAGACGTGTCTGAGACTGGTGTGAAGTGGACGCTGCCTTGTTTGTCACTGCTGTCTATTTCTTTTCTTGTTCCCTTTCCTGTTGCTTTCTTACCTATTGGTGGAGTTTTACGTATTCATGGATTTGCAGACAGAGCGAGGCCTTTTCCGTCGCACTCCAACAGGGTGAACGAGGCCCCCCTTTCCCCTTCGACCACCGTGGCATTGATGTGTTGTGTGGTTATTTGTGCGGTGTGTGCCGCCTGTGTGCTGATATATTATGCCCCCTCAGGTTGTTTTGATTGCTGTGTCCGGTGTATTGGGGCAGTGCCCTACCCCTCCCTGGTGGCCACCTTGCTGTGTTATGCCGGCACAGCATTGTTTTGTGGCTGTGGGCATGAAGCGCTGGCCCAGACCGAAGTCCTCATTGAGACGTACTTTGCCCGCAACGCTCAGGACTACGTGGTCTTGGCCTCTTTGTGAGTGATGCTTCAGTCAATGCAATTGTTTGAAACAGATTTATCTCAGCCTTTTCACTGACTTCATCCTGTAACTCTCCCCAGTATCAAATACTTCCAGTACGTGATCTACGGTCTGGCATCCTTTTTCTTCCTCTATGGCATTCTGCTGCTGGCTGAGGGTTTCTACACTACAAGTGCAGTCAAGCAGACGTTTGGCGAGTTCAGGAGCACCCACTGTGGCCGCTGCCTCAGCCTGACGGTGAGCACACAAGAGAGGAGAGAAAACGAGAGCATGACGTCAGGTCATTGACGAGATGAGGAGTGCTGGTTTGAATGAAACATTCTTTGCGTAATTTCTTCTAAAATCATGACTTATGCTCGATAGCTGGTGTAATGACACCACATTTATCACCGTGACACCGGAGCACTCAGCCAACAGATCCATAACCTTCTTGTTTCAACAGTTCATCATAGTGACGTACATCTTGGGCTTCATCTGGCTCGCGGTGTTCGCTTTTACTGCCATCCCAGTCTTCTTCCTGTTCAACATGGAGCAGACCTGTCACGACATCAATATCCTGGCTGAGACCACCCCCAGCATCAATCAGCACAGCTGGATTTGCATGGACGCCAGGCAGTATGGTGGGTTGCTCCTTTAATGGCTGACCGCATGTCCCCCTGATGAGCATGTTAATGTGTCCTTGACAGCGACCAACTAATCAATGGGGAGTGGCGGCAAGACGGATGCTTGAATTAGCTATGAAACACTACAGATAATCCCTCACTGCTGTTTCCCTGGTGTGTCACATGCAAACGGGAGCATGCATGCGTCAGAGCTTCAGCATTGGTTGGGCAGCTCTTACTTACATCATGTCTTCATTTCAGGGCTGCTTCCTTGGAATGCGATGCCAGGCAAGTCCTGTGGAATGACCTTGGCATCAATTTGCAAAACCAGTGAAGTGAGTAGATAAAACGAGGACACATTTGCATCATTACATCAAAATCCCTGTATATCGTCCAGGAGAGCGAGTCACGTATTTGAAATTATAATAAATAAACCAACTGTGTTTATCGTGTCTCATAGTTCCATCTCACCTACGACTTGTACATAGCTGCGTTTGCCGGGGCTGGGATCACTCTTTTGTCTCTGGTAAGGATTTGTTTTATTACTTTGCATGAGTTCTTTTTTGAATTTGAATTGATTAAACTGGATAATAGTAAAATAGCGGGTTTGTCTGAGTTAGAAAACAAATCCTGCCAGTGAGCACTGTGTTTTCACTAAAACTATTTTTGACCAAAGAAACGTGTGCATATGTGATGTGGTTTTCAAAAACTGTCGCGTTAAAGGGGTGGTTCTGTGGAAAAGACATGAACAATTAATATCTTATCTGTTGATGGCTCCTTGAATGATCTCTGTTTGGCACAATTGTTTCATTCTAAGCTGATTGATGAGCTAATGGCTAGTCATAGTAGGACCAAGACCAAAGCAAGTTACTGTTATCTTAGAACAGCTGCAGTCTCAAACACTTTAACACAGTTCATGCAAGTTCTGTTTTATAAATGTTTAAATTGTTCAGTTTTGCATTACACTGTTGTTTACATAAAATCTATTGGTTATGACCAAAAAAGAGTTAAATAATCAGGTCAACGGGACAGGTTGTTTTGGGGGGGTGAAACATTTCGTCTTTCTTCTGAAAGACTTCATCAGTTTGAGGCCTGCCAACCCAGGTCTGTTTAATAAATAGCACCTCCTTGATGTGTTTCAAGGCAACCCTCTGGGGAATTCCCAGAAACCTGCTTTGCACGTGAAAAAAGAGGACCATCCGTCCAAAACAATCAGTCATCTGGTATAACTATCAAATGTTTTAGGCCAGATGGCCAACTTGCTACTCACAGAAACAGCCTGAGGACGCCTGGTCAAAATCCATCCATCCATTTTCTTTACCCGTTTATTCCATTTTGGGTCACGGGGGTCGCTGGTGCCCATGTCCAGCAATCACTGTGCGAGGGGCGGGGTACACCCTGGACGGGTCGCAAGTCCATCACAGGGCCACATAGAGACAAACGAGACAAACAACCATTCACTCTCTCACTCACACCTAGGGACAATTTAGAGTTACCAATCAGCCTAACATGCATGTTTTTGGTCTGTGGGAGGAAACCGGAGTACCCGGAGAAAACCCACGCATGCACGGAGAGAACATGCAAACTCCACCCAGAAAGGCCCCTGGACCGGGGTTTGAACCAGGGACCTGCTCGCTGAGAGGCAGCAGCTCTACCAGTTGCGCCACCGTGCTGCCTGGTCAAAATGTTTCAGATAAAGTTTCAGACTAAGTTTCAGATAGATGAAGTCTTTTGGATGAAAGATGAAACATTTCACACACACCACACCACCACCACCCCACCCCCCAAAAAAAACAAAAATTAAAAAAACTGTCCAGATGACATGATTTAACCCTTTTTTGGTGATTTATCCTGGTTGATTGAGCTTTCAAACCTTTTTCTTTTGGCTATGTCTTTTTAAGCACAAATATCAGCAGCTAACAGCTGCACTCCCAGTGCAGTTTGGTATGCTTTCTGCCAAATTACATGAAATATCTGCCAGAATAACCATTTAAAGCTAAACTGAATATGGTGTAAACTAAAGGGTTAGTAAATAGTGTTTGAATGAAGTGCAATTAATTTTTTAAACTGGAGTTATTGAACTCATCATCTTCTCAATGAGGTCACATGACGTAGAGAGGAGAGATCTCTGAATAAAACTCGGTAGGCCTATGTCATTGAAAACATCTTTTAAGATACACATACATTTATATCAGAACATAGGCATTTTTGTCATCTAAATTTTAAATTGCCACGTGGAAGTACACATCAAAGTTTCTCCAGGAATTTTCTACTTTTAAGGCATTACAAATCTGCTTGAACTAGATCCAATCAGGCTAGCTATTATATTTAAGAAACAAACCATTTCTCTAATCTCAAAACCTTCACAGCTTGCAAAGGCTACTTTAATAACCCTTACAGCTTCATCACTTCTCCACTACTTTATGTAGAACTTCATGTTTACCTGCATGCATGAGTAGAAGTAGTGGCAGCTATCTTAAGCATGCAACTTCCAACAGGATTATCAATTTGTTTCAGCTGGAACAAACAGGCAGCACGGTGGCACAACTGGTAGAACTGCTGCTTCTCAGCGAGTAGGTCCCTGGTTCAAATCCCGGTCTGGGGGCCTTTCTGGGTGGAGTTTGCATATTCTCTCCGTGCATGTGTGGGTTTTCTCCGGGTACTCCAGTTTCCTCCCAAAAACATGCATGTTAGGCTGATTGGTAACTCTAAATTGTCTCTAGGTGTGAGTGAGGGAGTGAATGGTTGTTTGTCTCTATGTGTCCTTGTGATGGACTGGAGACCCATCCAGGGTGTACCCCACCCCTCGCTCAGTGATTGCTGGACATGGGCACCGGCGACCCCTGTGACCCAAAATGGAAGAAGCGGGTAAAAGATAATAGATGGATGGAAAACAAACTTACTTAATGGCAGTAACTGCTGGATGTCCGGCCTCTGAGCTCTTAGCTTTCAGTAACTGTGGCCCACTGAGCAGTTTGGTTGAATTGTTCTCTTCTATACTATTCTTCTTCTATTATTATTATTATTATTATTATTATTATTATTATCATTTGAATTAATTTCTAAAGAGCTATTTATAGCTTTTACATGAAACTCCTCCTAAAATATCTGATTTATTGCTAAACAACACTGTTATCATTATTTTTGTCTTGAGCAAAAAAGTAATTTTTAAATAATTGTATGATTCAAAATTACAAATAACTTGATGACTACATTTTTCCTTACGATGAGGCCAAATCATTATTATTATTATTATTATTTTGTAGTATTTCACTTGGTTGTGACTTTGACTTTTGGTTACGATTAGCAAACAGCATTTGTGTCTGTGTTTTCAAAATGTCTCCAAACATCTGCAATGGTTCTTAATTTCCTTGTGAGTTGCAGACACTTCCTCTCTGGTTGCTGAAATTTTGAACACGTTCAAAAAATTCACAAATAACTTTATTGTCAAATAGTCTCAGATTTTGCAAGCCTCTGAAGCAGTTTTGTTTTTGTATTCTAGAGCACAAGGGCTGTATTTTTTGTTGATTTTTCTGCAAACTTGCTGCAAATTTGACCAAAAGTTAAAAAATATATATAATTCCTTGTTATTCTAAGTGAAAATCAGTATTGTTTTTCTCACAGTTTGTGGAGAATAGGCCCTAACAACAAAGTGACATTCTACCTCTTGCTTGCAAATGTTGGCACAGGCTGTAAGTGTGCATTAAAATTTGAATATTCTTTTATTTCTGCTCTTCCTTTCTCATGCATCGTTGCAGTTCCTGTATCTGGCCGCCACCACCTATAACTACGCCATCTTGCGATTCCTGGGCAGAAAAGGAATTCGCTAAGTGCAACACATCCGTCTGCACATTCAACTCTTGATTTAAAATCCCTCTTCAAACAGCCACGTCATGAATCATCTGCTGCCCCCACCACCACCACCACCACCACTCCTGACAAATAACAGAAAATTACTTTTCACTGTGATGCACCAACAACAGAGAGATGAAGATCATTCACACCTCGTAATGAGCCCCGACCTGCTCCTCAAGTCCTCCTCTCAGACGATCCTCTTCAGTTTCGTTGTTCGTTTTCTTTCTTGCAGGGGTGAACCGCTCGTTTGATTCTTCCCGTGACGCCTCACTGGTGCTGACTGTGATGTATAACGTTTCGTGAATAATTAAGAGAAACGACAGCTTGCTTTGCAAGTCATAACTGTGTGCAGACTGTTCCGAGTTTACCGATGCACATGTTGGAGCTGAATAGGATTACATGCTGCTGCCTCATTATCGCCTTTGTGCACGCCAACATTGTGAGACTACAGCAAGCGAAACTGAATGTATCAGAGTTTCCCTTTAAGCTTTTTTGCTTCACGATAAATTTGCCACGCATTCATTCAAAACCCATTTTTGCTTTGTTTAAATGTCACCACCCAGGGTGGTGCTTAGCACCCACCTAAATAAGAAGTTGATGTTTCAGTAACTGCTTCCTAGTTGACTAGTCTTGTGTGTTTTCATTTGTAATTAAGGCTAATTAAACCTTCGGAATCAGAGGCATTTACTTGTAATTTTATTTTAACCGTATACATGTTGCAATAAAGCCCTCTTCGCTGATTGTGAAGTAATTCATTTGAGCAACAGCGGTAATTACTGCTGCCAAGGTTTTTAATTACACCATTCTTAAACAACACAAAACTATATGTCCTCGTTTCCAGAGGAGGAGATTGTTAAAACAACAACAACACACAATACAGAGCAAGGGCAGTACAAATCCTCAGACAGCACATTATTCACTGTGAGCTTTGAGACACATTTGTCCCCCGTAGTATTCAAGCATTAACAGCGTTCTGGAAGCAGTCCCTACAATGGATCACGTTGTCAAACAAGAACATAGGGGTCAGCAAATCTCCAAGGGCCTTAGCGCACACGCCACACTGCAAAATATACACAACATTAGCATTAGGCAAAGACAGGAGTCACATGGCTCTACTGCACATTACAAAAATCATAGATGGTACGTTTTCTGACAAGGAAGAAAGTCGAACCTTGAAACACTCTGGATGGCAGGTCGCAGGCGGTTCGCTCACTATGATCTTGATGTTTCCATCAATGGTTCGATCGCAGTAAGAGCAGGTCGACTTGTAACTGAGGATAAGGTTTCAGAAGATAATTACTTTTGGATCATTTTGAGTTTTTTTTGTCCGTTTTGCACCATTTGGTTGCTTCAATATGTAGCTGTGGAAACGTTCCGTTCAGGAGATATGTACAGAATTTTTAAAAGTCAAAAATAATACCAACTAGACTACTGCATTTCATGCAAAAATGCAGTGTGAATGCTTATTGCAGAAGAACTTCCTGAAAAACATGCTGAAATGTAGCTGAAATGGAAGAACAAGCCTAAATCAGCGAAAGAAAACAGAAATACCAGCTGAATTAGATCTAAATAAGCAGAAATTAGCATGAAAATTAGGAAATTGGCTATTTAAAAAAAGCTGAAATTAGCAAAAAAAAAATAGCCCAATTGTAGCTGAAAAGACTAAAAGAAGCTTAAACTAAGGAAGTGTAAAGAGCTGGAATGTGCTCAAAAAATGTAGAATTAGCTGAAAAGGCTAAAATTAGCATCAAAACTGATAAATAGTAGATGAAAGTGCTGAAAAGCTGAAAGAAACATATCAAGCTGAAAATTGCAAACATAAGTTAATTAGGCTGAAAGTAGCAGAAATTTACATGAAAAACTTGAATTTATCTGAAAACAGCTGAAATTAGCTAAAAATGCTAAAAAAAAAAAAAAAAAAGGTAGCTGAAAAGGTAGAAAGGTAGAACAAGCTTAAATTAGCAGAAGAAAGCCGAAAGAACATATGTTTACACATTTAGGCTGAAAGAAACAGATATCAACACAAAATAGTGGAAATTATCTGAAAACAGCTGAAATGAGAAAAAAAAAAGCTAAAAAGTAGCTAAAAAAAAGCAGAAAGAAGCTTGAATTGACAGAAGGAAGGGGAGAGAGCATATTTTTTGCTGAATTAGGCTGAAAAAAGTTGAAATGAGTGCAAAAAATGTGAAATTAGTAAAAAAAAAAAAAAAAAAAAGCTAAAATTAGCATTAAAACAGCTAGAACATATGTGTCCAACTCAAGGCCCGGGGGCCAAATGTGGCCTTTTTTGACATCTTATCTGGCTCCCAAGATGTTATTTTAAATGTAAAATGCTTTTATCACATTAATTTTTTTCAGTAATCTTTAATTATGATGTCCAAAGTGCAACAGGGAACATCAAATGAGACCAATCAAACTGTTGTTGAGGAACCTGCAACCAATAAAAGATATTGGGTATCTAACTTGAGTTCATGTAGATTCTGAAACTGGCCCTTAGTTTGAAAAAGGTTTAAATCTTGGCCCCCTCTTGTAAGTGAGTTTGACACTCCTGAGCTAAATAGTAGCTGAAATAGAAGAAAAAACTGAAACTTGCATAAATAAGCTGAAAGGAGCATAACAAGCTGAAATTGGCAGAAAGAAGAAGCACAAAAATGTTTCAGTTAGCAGAAAGCTGCTGAAAAGAGCAAAAGACAGCTGCGTAACAGCTGACATTAGCTGAAAGTAGCTGAATTATTATGTTGTTGGGTTTTTTTTGCACAAGGAAGCTGAAAGAAGCTGAAGCATAACAAAATGTGAAAGGAGCAGTAAAAGGCTGTGAACAGATCTAAAGATGTGACGAATGTAAAATGAGCTCAATTCATTTTCTATGAGAAAAAAAGTGACAGAAACGGCTAAATATTTCAAACAGCTAAAGTTGCACCAACAGCAAAAGTCATAACACCCTTCTCCTGAAAGAGCTGAACGTTTTGATTTATGATTTATTGAAATAGCACAAAAATTGTGGAAAGAGAAAGATGCCTAAAAACGTACGGAAGAAAAACGGATCACAATGGTGTGAATGCTTCATAAACATTCACATAAACATATGCAGCGAAGTACAAACATGACCGACTGACACAATATTTAAACATTTACAGTATTAATAAAATGTGTTTTTATTAATGTTTCATTAACTCTTGCATGTGTTTGAACAAGTGTGACCTCTGGGGTTCATCCGGGGTGCTGCAGCACCCGTCACATCCTTACTTCTCATGGCCTTGTTTTAATATAACATCAGGTTTAAATATACAATTCAGATTTTAAAGGAAATATGAGATATGAGAAACCCACCTGTACTTAATCTGAGCATGTGTAGAATTTATCTTTCCTTCAGGTTTCTGAAACTTCTCAGAACTAAAACAACAACAACAACACGATGATTAGCCAACAAGAGGATTATATAAAGAAAAACATTTTTGAACAACACTACATGTCATTTTACTCACATGTTGGAAACGTCACGCTCCTGTTTCACCTCTTCTGGGATGGTTTGCTCTGAATCTTCAGGTTTAGGAACAGGTTTGTCACTTTGTGAGTCAACATCTAAAGCATCTGTCAGATCGATGGTCCTGAAAGCTGAATTATCCAGAACATCTGCAGCAGGCGCAGGCTGAACAGCATCTTCAGGGCTCGGCTCCATCATCTGGTCAGATTTATGCTGAACACTTTGTTGAGGAGCAGACTTGACTACCTCCTCGGTTCTGGCCTCTAGAACCGGCTCGGTGAGACCTGCAGACTCTGATTCATGCTCTGCAGACTTAGCAGGTGATTCAGACTGAGCCTCAGGAACTGGTTGCCCATCATCAAATGGGGGAGCCTCTTCTCTCTGTGCTGCACCAACATCTACAGGAGTCTTCAGCATCTCATTCTGAACTAAAGCTTCACCGATGGCTTCTTCATCTTGTCCTGGAGAACGTTTTTCACAGCTGCTCTCTGTAGAGGATTCATCGGTGGGCTGAGTAGGCGAGTCACTCAAAGATTCAACCAGTACGCCTGAATCTTCTCTGGCTGGGAGGGAAGCATCTTCACCTGCTGCTCCAGTATTACCAGCTGATTTAGGAGATGACTCCACCATGAACTTCACATCCATGACCGTCGTGTTTGTCTCCTGAGGAGGGCATTTCTCTCCCTGACCATGCACAGCTTGAACAGATACTTCTTTGTTTTTATCCTCCAAACATGATGTGTTTGCTGGATCTGTGTGGATTACAGATTCCTCTCGAGGCTTCGGTTGGACTCCGGGTGCAGCGGGGACTTCAGCAGTGACTGAACTGCCAGATGTGCGCCCCTCTGGAACACAGTTTTCCACTTTAGTGTCGGCTGGAGCCTTAGCCTCACTGTTATCTATATGTGATGGTTCAGGAGTATCGGTGTGTTCTTCCTTGTTTTCTGCAGATGTTTGGGCACTTCTTGTTTCTGCTGGCTTCACAGGAGCTGCTGCTTCAAGAATCTGCTTCTCTACAGTAGCTGGCTGGATTTGTTCTTCATTATCTGAAGGAGTTTCTGCAGGTTCTTTCTGGTCTGCATCAGTCTTTTGTGCAGGTTTTATCTCTGCTGGCTTCACAGGAGCTGCTGCTTCAAGATTCTGCTTTCTTACAGTGGTTGGCTGGATTTGTTCTTTATTACCTGCAGGAACTGTGGCAGCATGTTCTTCCTGGTCTTCTGCAGCATCTTTGTAGGC